GTTTGAACGGGAGTGGAATTTATGATATTGGGTTCGGATTCCGATTGTCAAAGTTGAAGCAGGTCTGTAATGTCAAATGTGACTTGTGTGCAAATTTTAAGGTCAATCGGACGTGATTTGATAGGTTTCGGCATCGGTTGTGGAAGTTTGAAGTTTCAAACTTCATTGATTTTGAATTGAGTTGTGATTCGTCGTTTCGATGTTGTTATATGTGTTTTGAGGCCTCGAGTAGGTTCGTATTATGTTATGGAACTTGTTGGGATATTCGGACGGGTCCCGAGAGGCTCGTGTGAGTTTCGGACAAGGTTCAGATCATTTTCGTTTCATAGTGCATTGCTGAAGGCTGCTGGTTCTGGTGTTTCCGCATCTGCGGAAGAATGCACGCAGTCCGCAAATGCGGACACTTGATCACAGATGCAAAGGAAGGCTTGGTTGGAATGGATCGCAGAAGCGGGAATAGGGGCGCACCTGCGGCCCTGCAGAAGAGAAGATCTTGGGCGCAGAAGCGAGATTTAGCGCAGAAGTATGTTTGGTTTCACACATGCGGTTGTGCATAAACGGTTGTTGATTCACAGGTGCGGTGGGTCAGTTGGCTTGTGGAGTCCGCATAAGCGGCTAATGGGACGCTGATGCGAAAGTGCTGGGCAGAATGATAAATACAAGGGTGGGTTCGCAATTTTAGCTTCATTTTAATATTTCCAAACTCGGATTGAGGCAATTTTTGGAGCAATTTTCACCATATGAATTTGGGTAAGTGTTCTCTACTCGGTTTTAGCTATATTCCTTGAATCTATCTTCGATTTTAGTTTTTGGTTGATGAATTTTAAAGACGAAATTGGGGGTTTTGGCCTAATATTTCATAATATGATTTTTTAAGTTTTGAACAACGATTTGGAGTTAGAATTGAGTGAAACTAGTATGGTTGAAATCGTAATCGATTGGGTTGTTGGATTTTATGAGTTTTGTCGGGTTCTGAGGCGTGGGATGGGGTGTGACTTTTGGAGGATTTTGGATTTTTATTAAGGATTTGATCTTTATCTTCTCCATGGATCCGGATTGGCCTTCCTCGGTAGTGAGTGGCTGATGGTCAGTGACGTATATATTCCAGGATGGATCTTCCCTGGGTCGTATGGGCCATATACAATACTAAGTAGTTGAGCATGATGAGTGAAAAGTGTGAGACAGCAAAATTGAGTACTCTCAGAGTATTTGTACATGATTCATCTCTGAGATACATGTCATTGACAAGAAAATAAAATATTTTATTTAGAACAGTGACAGCCAAGTCTGATTCCCTCTTCCAAAAGTGCCACAACTCCTTCTATCACAACCCCTGGATTATTGTGGAAAGGATTTTGGAATTTTTTACAGTTTTCAAACTATCGTATATTTTTCGACGATTTCGGTAAAGGATTTGGGCTTTCACTGATACTCTTGAAAAGTAAAACTATTTTCAGAAAAACTCTGAAAAAGCTGAGCATTTTATCTCTGAGTTATTTCCTTGTTTATACGTTGTGTGTGGTTATGAATTGTTGTTGGCTACTGGTGTTGGACCCGACATGTTCAAACTCGTCACTACTTTCAACCTAAGGTTAGGTTTGTTACTTATTGAGTACATGAGGTCGGTTGTACTTATACTACACTTCTGCACCTTGCGTGTATATGTTAACTGTTAATGTTGCGGTGTTCGAGGGGAGCTGGATTTGAAGATGTACCTGCGTTCCTACTATAGCTGCCTCTTGTTCATGGTACCCTTAGATTCATAGAACTCTGTTTATGTACTTTTCAAATAGATGATGTATTTACTTGGTACCAGCTTCGTAAACTCTATTCTTAGAAGCTCATGATTTGTACTATCAATCATTGAAAAATGTGTAAAATTCAAATAATATCTTCTGTTTAATTGTCTTATTAATATGATTAAAATTGGTTAGTTATTAGTTGACTTACCTAGCGGGTTGGGTTAGATGCCATCACGACTAATGGATTTTGGTTCGTGACACTTAATTTCTGAGAGGTGCCATGACAAAACTTTTTGGTGCTCCTTAATATATATATATATATATATACTCCCTCCGTTCCAATTTATGTGAACATGTTTGACTGAGCACATAGTTTAAGTAAAAGATGAATTTTTTTGGAATTTGTGGTTCTAAACAAGTTCAAATGGGGCCCAGAGTATTTGTGTGGTTATAAAAGCTTCTCATTAAGGGTAAAGTTATAACTTTAAGCTAAATTGTTACCAAATTTAGAAAGGGTTCATTCTTTTTGGAACGGACCAAAAAGGAAATAGGTTCACGTAAACTGAAACAGAGGTAGTAATAAAGTTTGTTTGACCAACTTTAAAATCAATCCAAAACCGTCTTATCTCCAATATCCATCAAAATTAGGCAACGTGAAGTGCTATTTAACAAACATGGTTCATAATATACCAACACAATTGGAGATGCCATTCTGTAAAGTCAACTTGATCTTTCTCTCGTTTATATAGAATTAACATGGTGACATGATTGCAAATGCCATTTAAGCCATTCTTATATCATCTTTCTTTTACTAAGCAATCTATTATCTCTATCAAAATGTATGAAATCCCTATATACCCGACATGGTTCATAGTATATTAACACCAATTAATATGGAATAGTTTTATATTTCCTTAAATGAAGATGTTATCCCATTCTATGAAGTCAACTATAATTAATCGACAATGTTCATGAAAATCAACTACTGTGAACCATGTTGCACGAACTTTCAATGATGTTTGCTGCACTCGTGTCAGATCCTTCGAATATAAATGTAACGACCCGACCGGTCGTTTTGAGTTTTTGCACTTCGCTCGCCAGTTCTCGGGCATGACTAGCCCCGTATGATGTATTATGACTTCTGTAAATCGTCGGTTTTGGTTTTCAAGGTAATTAGAATGAATTTGGAAGAACAGTTCTCAGTTTGAAGCAGGTTTGACCAAGTTTTGACTTGTTAGTATATGATCTCAAATTAAAAATTTTATGATTTGGTTAGCTCTGTTAGGTGATTTGGGACTTAGGGGCGTGATCGGAATGTATTTTGGAGGTTCGTGGAAGGTTTATGCTTGAATTGACGAAATTGGAATTTTGGCGTTTTCTGGTTGATAGGTGAGATTTTGATATAGGGGTCGGAATGGAATCTCGGAAGTTGGTGTAGGTCCGTGGTGTCGTTTGTGACGTGTGTGCAAACTTTCAGGCCTTTCAAACGAGGTTTGATAGACCTTTTGATCGAAAGCGGAATTTGGAAGTTTTTAGAATTCTTAGGCTTGAATCCGATGTAATTTTGGTGTTTTGATATTGTTTTGAGCATTCTGAAAGTTGGAACAAGTTTGAATGAGGTTATGAGATATTTTGGCATTTTAGGTTGAGGACTCGAGGGTCTCGGACGAGTTTTGGGTGGTTGAACGGATCATTTCATGTTAGAGGAAATTGCAGAAAAACTGCTGTTGGTGCTGCAGGTTTTTGACCTTCGCATCCGCGATAGATGTCCCGCGTTCGCGAAGGGTTAGGATATGAGGCAATGGAGTTGGCCTTCACATTCGCAAAGGTGGTCCCGTGTTCGTGAAGGGCTGAGGTCAGTAGTCATTGCGTTCACGAGAGTTTTGCCGCGATCGCGAAGAGGAAGTGGAATAGCTGGGACCCCAAGGCATTGCTCTACGCGTTCGCGTAGTAGAGGTCGTGTTCGCGAAGAGGTGAGTCAGTTGTGCATCGCGTTCGCGAGAGGAATCTCGCGTCCGCGTAGAAGGAATTTTGATCAGTAAAGCTTTGTTCTTCGCAGACGCGAGGGAGCTGCTGCGTTCGCGATGAAGAAAATATCTGGGCAGAATGTTTAAGTTCAAAATCGAGGGTTTAAGTCCAATATCATAAAAACCATTAGAGAGCTCGGGAGAAGGTGAAATTTGAGGAGAGTTTCAGTGGAGCAAAATTGGGATAAGTATTCTTCACTCATATTTGGTTTAATTCCATGATTTAGTCTTGAGTTTCATCATTTAATTTGAGAAATTAGAGTGGCAATTGCGGAAAAATGGAGGAAAAGTTTGAGAATTTCTTTTGGGGATTTGAGGGGTCATTTGAGGTCTGATTTTGATGTTCTAAGTATGTACGAACTCGTGAGAGGATAAGGATTCTATTGATGAGATTTCTATCAGATTCCGAGATGTGGGCCGGGGGGTCGGGTTTGGCCAATTTCGGAATTTTTTATGTAAATTGGTATTTTCGAGTGGGCTTTGTTTCCTTAGCATATTTTGATGGTATAAATCTATTTTTGGCTAAATTTGGAGCATCCAGAGGCCGAGTCGAGAGGCAAAGGCATCGCGAGCTAGAGTTTGGACCGGATTGAGGTAAGTAATGATTGTAAATGTCTGTTTTGAGGGTATGAAACCTCGAATTTCACAACGTTGTGCTACTTTGAGGTGACGCACACACTAGATTGTAGACATGTGATTTTTGACCCTCCCCAAGATTTTACATATTTTAGCCTTTAGATATTTAGTTTAGGCCTAATATCGTTATTTTACCTAGTTTAAACTATTTTACTTTATTTTGTCACAAAAATAAAAATAACAAAAATATTTTCTTTTATTTAGGTTATTGATATTTTATTTTGTTACTTTTAATTTATCTACCTTACATAAAATTCAAAAATACAAAAAAATAGTTACACTTTATTTTCAAGGATATTAGTGTTTTGGATAGTAATATTATTTTAATTTTACAATAATTTTAATCTAATTCCATGTTTATCTTTTAGTATGAAATTTGAAAAATATCAAAATAGTTTAACAATATAGTATTGTTTATTTTAATTAATTAGGATTAGTTTTATATTTTATAATAATATGGAAAAATATTGGGCTTGTTAAGCTTTTCTTATCCAAAATTTGGCCCAATTCGGAATGGCCCACAAGATTTTGAGCCCAATACCATATACACCAAATTAAAACCCTTACACCCCATGAGCTCCCTTCTTCTTGATAACCAAAAAAGACCTACACCCTTTAGACTTGAGATAACAGCCGCAACGCACGGACTACAAAAATCCAAGGACAGTATCGGCGAAAGCAAGAAAAGGAAAAAAGGTTTCTGTCCAACACTAAAGCTATGATAATTATTATTTAAACTTTTTTTGGGAAAAGAGAGACAGAGGATCTCACTTTATTTTTGCTAAAAAGGGAAAATCCCATTTCTTTCCCTTCGTCACCTTACACCTGAGCCTCCATGACTTCCGTTCCCTTCGTTCTTTTGGACTTTCCATTTTCACAATTTTGGACGAAAAATCTCCTTGTTTCTTCATCTTCGTACAACCAAATCAATAAGGCAGAAAGTAGATGATGATTAAATTATCTAAAAGAAAGATACTGGCAAATGGGTGAAGGAAATGGTGTGATTTTGATCGGACAATGAGGTTTCCGGGTTCGGCGAGGTTCTCGTTCGTAGATCGCGTTCGGTTTGCAATTTTGGAGCTCTTCTTCATTGTAAATATTTGAAATTTTCAGCAATAAAGTTTTGATTTCAAACTCGAAATACATAATCAAATTTCAAGTTGTTCTTTTGGTCTTGGATTCCGAAATGGGTTGGAGTTAAAACGGGCGCACGATTGTTGGAGTTGTCGCCCAAGGTGCGGTCCGTCGGTTTTGTTCGATTTGGATTTGCTATTTTGAACCCCATTCGTAGCTGCATTATTCAGTCCATGGATGGCTCAAAATTATATTAATTCAGGTTCATCTCTTTTATCCCGTTTATTAGTCCATTGATACACTTTGTGTTCCCGTGAGTTCGAGCCTGCATTTTAATTCTTGGTTAGCTTTACTGTTACTTTGTTTAGTTTGCTCTCTAGATTGTTGAATTAATGTGTTATGATTTTGATCTTGGTTAGCTTCATTGAATTACGTTATAATATGTTCTATACATTTGAGAATGAAAATATGAAAGATTTTGCTTGAATTGGGTCGTGGAGTTCGGGACTTAAAGGTTTTAAAAAATGATTCGGGGATGCTTAAGACAGATTGTTGATAACTAGCAATTAAAATGGTTTTAGCTCAGATTGATTCCTGTTATTGCTTTCTTTACGTTTATTAATTTACCCCTTGGGAGCATGCTAGGCCATCATCACCTAGGTAGGCAAACTTTAGGATTTTTGTTAGTTTTGAGGCGAGAGGTCGTTCCTTAGTTAAACTTATCCGGGGAATGCCCCGAGGGATTTGTATATATTTTATTTTAGGGGTATGCCCTGAAGTGAATGTAATTGGAGGCTGTGGTGAACATCGTCGAAGAAATAACGTAGGATAATTCAAAACTTTAATTTTTCTTCTTTTAATTTTCTTTCATTTAGGTGGGGACGACCTCGAGCCTCTCTTGTGTTTATTTTCCTTTTCTGTGTTTATTTTTACCTCAATTTGAATATTTTAAAAGCTAATTAGATTGAGTACGCAACCGTACTAGTTATGGGACTTGGGGAGTGCCTAACACCTTCTCCCCGAGTCAAATGAACCCCCGTACCTGAATCTTTGGTGCAGACTTAGTTTTGGAGTCTCAAGTGTTTCGAAAGGAAAAAAATTATTTTTAGAAAAACGGTGATCTGACATACCGAAATCAAATGTCAGGTGGCGACTCTGAATTATTTCCTTTTGAACACAACTTTTTGTCACTTTCTAATTGGAAAATCCTTTTGAACTTTACAAAATCTTTTTATTAATTTAAGAGGGTTTAGTGAAGTTTGTAAAAAAAGGGGGTGTGTGACATCTCTGGCGACTCTGCTGGGGAATTGCAGGTTCGAGCTGGTACTTGATCTGTTGGCTTTTAGGATATTCGGTTGAGGTGTTTGTTTTCTTTATTTGCTTTGTTTATTTCCTTTGTTTGTCTTATTTCCTTGTTTTGTTGGTTATTTGTTTATCGTTTTTCTTAATGTGTTACTGCTTCATAAACTATCATCATTTGCTTAACCATGGGTCTTCTTTCTGCAACAAGTCTCGGAGTACGCGTCGCGTGCACGAACTCTTTGTTGAGTCACCCTTAATTTAGGCGGGGGTCCGTCGGACGTATGGAGTGGGTGGAAAGGTTGAGTAGCCAGCATCGACCATACGCTTCCCCGAATTGTCTTGTTAGTGAACCCCAAACTTAGGTCAGCCTTTAGGTCATTTTTATTTGCATCATGTTATTTAGACTTAGCAGGGCTCGGTCCCAGGTACCGTGTCCCTTTATAGGAGGCCTATCCAAATTTTGTCAAAAATGGGCCCGTGGCCCAAAAAGACATTCAATCATTCCTATGTGATACATGTTGCATCTTTAAGGGTAAAAAGGTCATTTGGCGGGCTGATGCTTGGGAAAGAAGGGTGAAAAATGAAGCAAGTAGGTCCTAGTTATATTTTTCTTTCACAACGTTTTCAAAAAAAAATTGAAAATGAAAAATTCAAAAAAAAAAAAAGATTTTGCACTTTCCCATTATTTTCCAAAAAATCAAAAAAAAGAAAGAAAAAGAAAATCCAAAAAGATTTTATACCTTTCCATTATTTTCCAAAAATTCAAAAAAAAAAAAAAGAAAATCCAAAAAGATTTTACATTTTCCATCATTTTTCAAAAAGACAAAAAAAATATATTTTTCCAAATTAGTGTCATTTTTTAAGCTTTCTCCCATTTCCAATCATCCCGAACTACACGAACCTGATTCTCGTCTTTCGGGACATGATACGTAGGCAACCCACATAGGGTCCGATCTTCCTAGTGAGTCTTAGGTTCTTGGCTTCACGGGGTCTTAGTCAAATCTTGCATGTCTAGCCACTTTTGGCCACATCGGCCATTCTTGCAAAATGGGGGTATTTTCGCAAAAGTGGTTTAATTACCCATGTCTTAGGATCTTAAGTCCACAGCTAGGTGTCATATTACTTTAAGGTCCTTCCTTATTGAGTTTGCTTCTTTAGCCACTTCTGGCCATATCGGCCGTTTTTGCAAAATGGGTCATTTCTGCAAATTAATTTTGGGCCATGATTATTGGGAGTTTGAATCCATATAATCCTTATGGAGTATTTTTCATGCATTAGAGGTCACCTTTGTTGAGTTTGCGCTAATATCCACATTTTGGCAACGTAGGTAAATTTGCAAAAATAGCCTTAATCATGCCTTGATTATTGGGAGTTTGAATCCATATAATCCTTAACCTTCGTGGCATCACATGTGTCTTGAGTCACTAACACTATTTGATCTTATTTTTCCCATTCAGGTATGGATAAATTTGCTAGAGCTTAAGCATAACAGATACCCCATGACAATTGCATTCACGAGCTACTTGAGGAGACTTTTTGTATTTTGAGCCTGTTTTGAGTCTTTTAGGTGGTTTAAGAGTTGTCGTAGTGTAATTTAGTTTGTTGAGTCTCTCATTATCGTACTATCTGTTTTGTATTTGAAAAACCAAAAAAATTTATAAATGAAAAATCCAAAAAGATTTATTTTAGTTTATTTTGTTAATTACTTTTCCTGAACTACGCTTGATCTGATTCATGAGGGACATGACACGTAGCAACCTACATAGGGTTCGATCAAATAATTTTTCAAAAAAACAAGAAGACGGAATAGAAAAGTAAAAAAAAAAAGAGAATGAAATTGCGGGACATGAGAAATGGGAGGAAAGAAAAGAGCGATAATCAGAAAAAAAAGAGGAGAAAAGAAATGAAAAACCAAGCAGTGTTAGAAAGGAAGATGAAAAAGGAAATGGGGCAAGAAGAGTGAAATTGGGATGATGCCAAATGATATTTTGACCCTCGAAGCCATTCTAGAACCGTTAATTATAGCTAGGCATTGCACGTAATGTGATATTTCTATCTGATAAATGTTCTAACGCTAACCTCCTGGCTTTGTTTGGCTCCCCTTTGTTACTTTCATTATTATCATAACAGAAGGTGGTTAGTTTGTGGCACTTTGGCGAGTCATCTGTATAACACAAGGTCAAAGAGCAAGGTAGGCATGGCTAGCAAAGACTTGAACACAGGAGTTGTTAACCCCTCGAGGGAGTTTGTGGAGTCGAAGTCTGAATTGAAAGAAGAGGTCCAAAGGTTGAAACAGTAGATGAAAGAAATGTATCAATCTTGGATCGGGGGGCATACTCCACCTTCATTCCCTACCAACTATACAGAAAACCACTCCACCGCTGTCCCAAGCCTAGATGCCCATTACCGTTGACCTTTCTCCTCAACATACACCGGGCTTTACCCCTTACCATAATTACCCTAGCACTTCCTCCCAAACTTTCCATTCTCCACCATCCAAAACAACCACATTCCCAGCTCCAGATACCCAATACTATGCCTCGGAACCCACCTTCAAAGTCCCAAATTCCTTACTCCTACACTTCCCATTTTGAACCTCATGCTGAAACTGAGAAATCAACCAAGAACGTGGAGCAAGAGGAGATATTTAGGAAGGTAAAGAGCCTGGAGCAATCATTGAGAAACATGCAAGGGTTAAGAAGCCAGGTGAGTGTGGCTTATAAGGATTTGCGTTTGTTCCCTAATGTTCAATTGCCTGCCGAGTTCAAGATGCCCAAGTTTGACTTGTATGACGGACATTGGGATCCTGTAGCTCATCTGAGAGATTACTGCAGTAAAATGAGAGGCGCCAGGGGAAAAGACGAATTACTAATGGCGTACTTCAGCCATAGTCTGAGTGGGGCAGCTCTAGAATGGTACACCTGCTAGGATGCCAACATGTGGTACACATGGGATGATTTGGCTCAAGCCTTTGCTCGGCATTTTCAGTACAACATAGACATTGTCGCGGATCACCTGTCCCTAACCAAGGTAGAAAAGAAGACCAGTAAAAGCTTTAGAGAATATGGTTTCCAATGGAGGGAGCAAGCTGCACGGGTCAATCCTCCGATGGAAGAAGATGAGATGGTTGAATACTTTCTTCAAGCCCTGGAGCCTAGTTACTTCGGCCATTTGATCTCAGCCCTTGGTAAGCCTTTCAATGATGTGGTAAAGATGAGAGAAATGGTGGAAGAGGGACTGAAGTCAAGCAAGATCATGAGCTATTCTGCCTTAAAAGCCACAACACAGGCAATTAAGAAGAAACATGATGATATTGCCATGGCTGTATCAGGATCGCGACATAGCCCAATGGATCCGCCTCACCAATATACTCATCCTCGACCCTGACCCCAAACCCAAACCTATCCCCGAGCTCCATATAATCCACATTAGTACTATCCTCCGAACAACGTCTAGTCATTTGTTCAACCACTAGGTCACTCCTTATGGCGATCACCAACACCGCATAATACTTTTTCGCCTTCATAACATTGTCGAGCACCCAACAACCCTAGGAAAGAGGGGAATAAAGGCAAAGAAATAGTTTTACGCCAATCAGAGAATCCTACATAAGCTTGTTTGAAAAGTTAAAACAGTCGGGCCTGATTGAGCCGCTCCTTGGCTATACTCTGGACCCATATGCAAAAGGTTCGATCCTACTGTACAGTGCATGTACCACTCTAATGTCCAAGGGCATATCATTGAAGATTGTCGTGCTTTGAAAAGGGAGATAGAAAGAATTATTCAAGAAGGGATAATTGTGGTCCAGGACAGTGACACCCAGAATATCATGCAAAATCCTTTACCTGCACATAATGATGCATACTTTGTGGGGAAGATGCGTGGTGACAGGGAGTATGAGAATCCTCTTGGGAACTTGCTGAATGAAGTTAATGATATTGAAATTGGTGAGGTCCCAGTAATTTTGATATGCAAACTAGTGGCTAAGATGTCAAGCTTTGTAATTGGAAAGACACTCCTTTCTTGGCTAGCTAGGGAGGAGTTTTGGTGGTTTATTTTGTTGTCATTTCTGTTTGTCCGAGTTATTTTAGGGTTGTAATCCGGATATTGTCTTGTGGATCAAACTCTTCTTCTTCTCATTTTGTCTAGTTTGTTTAGTTGTAGTAACTCGTCTACTGTTATTTAGGATTGTTCCAAGGTTGTAACCCATGTATATTTTGCTTGTCTTGTTCAAACCCTTTTCATCATCTGTCTAATGCAATCTCATATTTTCTGTTAATTCTAGTCAGTTTTTGTTTAGGTCATTTTTCTTTTTATAGTTCTTTTCATGCCGACTCTAGTGACATGACATGCACACATAATTCTCAGCCTGATCTTGAAAGTTAGTCTAATCACGAAGCAATGACACAGTTTTGAATATGATAAAATGATGCATTTGAGGAAACAATTAAAGATTCACGCATTCTGAGATGACCTAAACTTTGAATTAAGTGAAACTGAGGCAGTAAGTTTGGGAAATCAAGAGGTTGATAAGAGCATACAATAAGGAAATGTCTGTCAAGCAGTATGAGGTAAATCAGTCAGTGCTGAAATGCATTCTTCCACATCAAGATAAGGTTGAGTCAAGTCTGCTTCGAACTGGCAAGGGTCATTCATTGGGACAAAGGTATTGCCCATTAGCACTTTTTGTTTGTGTTGATGTCATCAATAGATACTGTGTGTGATTTGTTTACTTATCTTCAATTGCATGTTTGTACTTAGCATTTTTAAGTTTGGTATGACGAAGGCATTTTATTCTGCTACCCAAACACTTTTATCCTCTGCTACCGATTTTGAGCGGTAATTTTTTGTTTTAAACCCCTCTTTTGGAATCAGAAATAGAGTTAGGAACTAGAAAATGAAAAGAAAAAGAGAAAAAGAAGAAAAAAAGGAAAATAGAAAAAGAAAAAAAAAAGAAAAAAGGAGAAAAGAAAAAAAAAAAGAAAAGGAAAACAAGAAAAAAAACAACAACTTTGTCTTTTGAACTACGTTCGACCTGATTCTTATCACCATAAGATACGTAGGCAGCCTTACGGTTCGGTCACACCAAATAAAATATTTCATAATCCCCCGAAGTCGAGAGTGGGGCAAAATTTCCTAGAAATCCCATCAAAAAAAATCCAGAAAATCCCCAAGCTCCAAGAAACTGGGGCAGAAGTTTTGGTTTTGCAAAAGATCTGATTCCAAAAGTTGAAATTTTGAACCATTTTCATATTAAATTATTTTGAGCCTTCATGCCACCCTTTCTTTCTAGCCTTGTCCAAAAGCCTACATTATGATCCAAAGAAAGACCTTCCGACCAATCTTTGAGGATGTCAAATCAAGTGCGTGGTCAAAGTATGATCTTCTTGTATCATGGGTAATACCTTGTTCTCAGCACAAAGAGAGAAATGATAAAATAAGAGAGTCTTATCGGTGAAAACCCTCATGGGCACCGTAAGGCGATGGTGAGTTGAGAAAAAGAGCAAAATGAGAGAGACTTGATGGTGAAAAACCTTCAGGGCACTACAAGTCGACTGAGGATTGTGGATCAGATGAGACAATTGAAGCCTTGAAGCCTAGTTTCACAGCGAAGAGGTACAACAAGAGTTGAATATTAAACTTGCTTGAGAGATTAGGCCAACTAATCCAAAGGTGCATGTCATGGTCATTAGAGTTGGTATCCGCATCTGATAAGTTTCTACTTTGTAATTTTCTTGTTAGGTATCATCTTTCCATTGTCCATTATTTTGTTTCTCTTGTTTTGTTTGAGTCCCTTCTGGAGTCTGTTTTGTCAGAACAAGTAAAGAAATGACTTCAAAATCTACTACTAGCTTTCTAATTGCACAAAGCGGATTCTGGCTAGCACATCAAAATGGCATAAGTCAGGAAAGAACAGTATGTGCACTGAGTTGATAACAATTAACATGCTTTGGGATTCATGTGAAATTCAAAGGTTCGGTAAATGTCAATTCATGAGCAAAATGCAACAGATAGAGGATATTGGGATCGAATGGAGTGGAGGTGTTTTCTGTGATAAGGGAAATAGAGAAAATAGTTAGTCAATAAACAAGCAAGGTATTCAAGTTGAAAGCAAAGTTATCATGGGAACCGAAGGAGCAATCGCCCTCAAAGTCAAGGCCACAAACTAACCACCATGTTTTAAACTCACAAGTTTTCTTTGTCTAAAACAGGGATGAAGGTATGTTCATAACAAAGCTTGAATTTTTCAGGTGTAACGCCCCAATTCTGCTTGCGCAAAGGCTATTGAGAAGATCACACATCACCCCTAGGAGAAGCACTTCCTAGTCTGAGTATTTCAAGCTATATTTTTATTTTTTAGTAGACGCACCTCCTAGCTTGAGTCATTGAAATTTTACCCTTAGGAGATGCACTTCCTATTCTGGGTATTTCAAGTTATATTTTTATTTTAGGAAACACACTTCCTAATGCTGGTCATTTAAATTCATCCCTAAGAGACGCATGTCCTAGTTGGAGTCATTGAAGTTTTACCCATTAGGAGACACACTTCCTAGTCTGGGTCTTTCAGATTATACTTGTTAGGAGACGCACTTCCTAGTTTGGGTTATTTAAGTTCATTCCTAGGAGACGCACTTCCTAGTTTGAGTCATTGAGTTTCATCCCTAGGAGACGCACTTCCTAGTTTTGG